AATGTAATTACCAAAATAAAAATAGAAAGCTTTGAAAAAAAAAAAACAATACCAGTATATTTTATTAAAAATTTGTTTTTATTTAGACTTCACCTCTATTTTTCACGTTTCTGTCAAATGAAGAAGTGTTTCCTCTTCTTTATTTATTTTGTTTTGAAAAAGTAAATTTGTTTTTCCTTTAAATCTTTAAGTTCTGTGTGGCATTTTTTCTGTTTCCTCCTCTTTATTTATTTTGTTTTGAAATAGTAAATTTGTTTTCCCATTTTTATTTTGGTAAGTACCTTTTATTGTTATAGTGCGTGATAATGATAAAATTAAATATAGAAACTAAAATAGGGTGAGAGTTGTTTTGTGTTAAAGGAAAAAACTATTGGTGGGTTTGAAAAATTGGGTTTGAAAAATGACCGTTAAATTTAATCTAACAGTCTATATAAAAAGTGTGGATTAATTTTCTTACTTCGTGGAGAGCAAGAGATCAAGACTCATATATATATATTATATAAATTTTGTGCAAATTTTTTTAACAATATCTCTTAATAATTTAATGAAAATTCATTATGTATAGATGAATTTTCACTATTCAATCTAATTTGTTGTCTAAAATAACCTTTACTTTTGAACCAAATCACCTTACTATCCCCTAACAATTTCACCCCAAACATACCCTTCACCATTCTTACCCCATCTGACTTCACTTTCTCCTTCGCCATAACCAAATTCACCTCCACCAATGGGTGCCGCCGCGTCCAACCACCTCTCTCCTCCTCTACCACACCCTCAAACAACCCTTGAATTACCACAACCTTACCGGGATCCCCAACCCTAGCGAATTGGTCACGTTTTATCAAAACTATTGCGTCTTTGTCTCCAAGAACGGCAATGCAAAGCTAACCTTCGTCGAGGCTGAGAAGCCGATCGCCGCCGTGAAAATCTGCCGAAGTTGTACGTGGACGATCATCTCACCGTCCACAGCGTCCACAACGTGATGGACCCCGCCTCTATGTCTAAGTGCGAGTTTCCGAATCTGACGGTTGAGGTCAAATCTGAGGTGGACCGATCATTTGTTGATCATGCTGTGGAGGTCTTGAGGAGGAGAGGGTTTGGTGTGGTCGCAATAGCGATGGAGATGAGGCGGTGACGATTTTGGCCCCCTCCGACGTACGTCTCTTCTCGGAATCTGACGGTTTTCGGTTCAATTTCTGTGATACCCCCGGATTCCCGAATGCGGGTTGGCCAGGCCCACGCCCAAATACTCGAGGATATCAAAACAAATTGATAATAAACGAACACAGAGTACAAAAAAATAAAAAAAAATAAATAAAATGCTAACAAGAAACTAAAATGATAATCTAATAATAAACCTCATAATATATTTCCATTAATTAATAAACTCTTCTGATACAACTGATCCTCCAAAATACAACTCGGGAATCCATACTGTGTGGACCCCTAGAAAATCCAAACTAAACAAATGGCAACAATAACTGTCTAAATCAGGAAACTGAATCATAAAGGAACTCCTATGTAGCATCGGAAGAATGAAGTAGACTGATCCCTGCTCAGCACGAACAACCTTTACTCCTGACGAACACCTGAAAAATAATGGTGGGTCAGGCTCACAAACAAGTTCTACTCTACTACAGTCCAAGCAGAGATCCGATACACGTATACATCCTAGTCAATCCAACAGTAACTAGTAGTCCGTATATATATACACACACATACTAAAGGAACTTCACTAGACTATAGGGTTGTCTCAACCTGAATAGAAGGTAATATGCAAAACGCACATATAGTGGGCATGAGTACCTAGACCTACCAGGGTACACAACTACATTATATCTAGTTACACATCCCTGGCGATATACGCACCATAACCACTGATCCTGAGACTCAAGCTCATATCATGGCACCATACTTATATATATAAAATCTAGTAACCATCCTATCCAGTATAAATTAATCCTCCATAAGTCATTCAACTTGTTTAGCTGACCTGACTTGAATATAAGTAGGACTTAACATTTTAGTTAATCCATTCCCTTATATAATAAATTAATCCTCTATAAGTCATTCAACTTGTTCAGCTGACCTGACTTGAATATAAGTATGACTTAACATTTTAGTTAATCCATTCCCTTATATAATAAATTAATCCTCCATAAGTCATTCAACTTGTTCAGCTGACCTGACTTGAATATATGTAGGACTTAACATTTTAGTTAATCCATTCCCTTATATAAAATAGGTAGGACTTAACTGATAAGTTAATCCGTCCCTAGAATGTCACCGTCCCATACCGGTGCATTAAACCACACAATCCAACAATTGATGTAACGATTAAGGAAATACATCAAACAATCCAAAAATAACTATGGTAATATGATATCAAGTTATCACAAAATAGGAATGACTTATTATTTATTTAAGCTTCCTATATCATATATCCTACATAAACTGAATGTTATACATATGATGATATTTTGTTATACCGTCAAATAAGCATTCTCCATATTCATTTCATCCTACACATTTAATCTCAATTGCTAAAACATATTAAAAGATTAAATCCATTCGTTTGTTTAAAACATTCAAATAGCAAGCATCATTATGATTGAGTCTATTTAAATTTATTTAAACCCAAACCTAGTTCCTATTTAATGTTCAGGAATCCTAGGCATGTTTCTACGTTCCATCATTCCACAGATATGAAAAATACATAATTTAAACATATAAAAATTCACACCGAAAATCAAATAAAATTCATGCATTTATCAATTCATAACAAGAACAGATATGAACCAAATTCATAAAACCTATGTTCTAATCCTATTAAATATGCATAATTATTTAATTTTATGTGTTTAATAAATCTTGAAATTTCCTAGGCATGTATAGAAACACGAACCAAAGGGAAAGAGATAGAAGAAGAATTTGCCTTAAACTTTCGGATCGAAAGTTAAACTTCTTCTTCCTTAATCTTCTCTCTACAGGGTTTTTTTTTCCTCTTTCCCTCTCTAACTCTCTCCCTCTAGAATATATCACGTGAATATTTCTAACCCCCTTTTACAACCTATAGCTATATATTTATAGGTTAAATAAAATAATCCTAACCATTTTCCCAATCAAAGTCAACTTAAAAAAAATATATTAAAATATTAAAAAGGTAAGTAAAATATGTTACGTATATAATTTATGTATATCTTTATTAAATAAATAAATTATACCCATCCCATTATTTATTAATGGATTATCCAAAAATACTTAAGTTACCCTAATATTATAAATTAATTTAAAACATAACACGTATCAAATCTACGTATATTTTTATTATTTAAATGTAAAACATATACATCAGATTAAATATTACTACCCAAGTTAACATAAAAGTAATTAATAAATTACTTTCCCTTTTATATATATTTAAAAGGTAAGTAAAATATGTTATGTATATAATTTATGTATATGTTTATTAAATAAATAAATTATACACATTCCATTATTTATTAATGGATTATCCAATAATACTTAAGTTACCATAATATTATAAAGTAACTTAAAATATAACACGTATCAAATCTATGTATATTTTTATTATTTAAATATAAAACATATACATCAGATTAAATATTACTACCCAAGTTACCATAAAAGTAATTAATAAATTACTTTCCTTTATATATATATATATATATATATATATATATATATACATATACAACTATCCATGGGTAATAATCCAAACACATCCAACCTCCTATCCAAGTAGTCCATGGGACCCAATTGGTTGACCCATTACTACTAACCATAACCATAAAAGAAAAAATAAAATAAAATAATAAAAGAAAAGAAAACATTTAATTTACAATTAATCAAAACACCATTTAAGCACATAATCTAATTAAACAATTAACACATAGACAAATACAAATAATACATAGACACATAATTAAATAATCAAGTAATACCTAATTCAATTAAACACATAAGCAGTTAGTTAAATAATCAATTAAATAATTAAAAATACAATTAAAACAAATAAATAAATACCGAGACTATCCTTTTAAAATTAGGGGTATTACAATTTCTGTCACGACGTCATCGCGAAACGACTTGATTCTTCGGATCTTGGGACGTTCGGTCGGAACAGAGATCAAGACTGTAGCTCCGAAAAGGTATCTGTGTGGTTGTGAGGGAGACAAGGGCTGTTTGGCTACTGGAATTGTGTAGCCCAAACCAATTTTACTTGAACCAAACTTGTATAAGTGAATAAAAAGATGGGGCAATAAGGTAATTTGATTCAAAATAAATAGTAAAATTCTATGTCCACGTGAGCGCCCTCCTCTTTTCTGAAAAAAATCGTGTTCTTTCCCACGATTTTGGCGTTTAGAAACTCTACTTCGCTCTCTTTTTCTGAAATCTAAATTACAAAATTTCACTTTTTTTTTTTAAATTTAAATTGTAAAATTTCTCTATTTTTTCACTCTTTTTCAACTCTGGTTCACTCTAAAATTTAAATTGCAAAATTTCTCTATTTTTTCACTTTTTTTCCTGAAATCTAAATTGCAAAATTTCTTTCCTTTTTTAAATTTAAACTGCAAAATTCATTACAGAAGCTTTTAATTTGCACATTCATTTTTGGTCCCAATTGTGGGAATAAGCAAGATGAGAGAAAGGGTTAACGTATAAAGGAATTTTCATTATTTCAAAATGATGCAATTTTTAAATCTTGTTAAATTTTTCATTAGCTCAAAATGATACAATTTTCAAATTTTGTTTAAATTAGTAATTGGGTCAATTTTATTTTTCTAAAACTTTCGGACTTTGACTTCATCATACAGTGAATATGGGGCCATAAAGTGACTTATGTGTAAAAATCCCTTAATTATATACAGAGGCTATTGAATGCGTTAATGAATACAATCCTACTGCTCTTACAATTGGTGTTTGAATGATATCTATACTTTTGGCCCGGGAAATAAAGATAAAGAAAAATAAAAAGAGAAAAATGATCTACAAGTCATTATATATAGATATAGGCTGTCTGAAAATGAGCTATCCATTTAACAAACTAATTATAAATCGTGATCACTGTATTCATGCGGTCATGAGATTCCAGACAAGTTTCGTTGGAGCTCTGCTCACACTATTACTTCTCTTCCGTGGCAGCAACACTACTTCCGACACCGTAACACGCAACCGGTTCATCTCCGACGCTAACAACCAAGCTCTTTTGTCCTCCAACGCCGACTTCAAACTGGGCTTCTTTAGTCCCGGAAAGTCAGCGAACCGGTACCTTGGTATTTGGTTTAACAAAGTTTCCGAACCTACTGTTGTCTGGGTCGCCAATCGAGACACCCCAATCAAAAACAAAACCGGAGTTTTCAAGATCGCGGATGATGGCAACATCGCCATATTCGACACCGACAACGAAAGAGGGCTACCGCTGTGGTCTACCAATGTGTCATCAGTTATGATCAACTCGACCGCGGTGCTCTTACCTTCAGGTAATTTGGTTCTGATCACAACAAACGGGTCAGACCATACCCACAATGTTGTTGTATGGCAAAGCTTTGATTACCCGACTGATTCGATTTTACCGGGAATGAAAGTGGGGTTGGACCGGAGGAGCGGTCTGAACCGGGTCCTGACTTCCTGGAAGTCAGAGGATGACCCGGCACCAGGGGAGTTCACACTGGCGGTTGATATACGCGGGTCGCCTCAGTTCTTCCTGTACAAGAACTCGGCTCCGATCTGGCGGGCCGGCCCATGGAACGGTATGACAATGAGTGGGATTCCCATAGTTGCAGGACTCAGTACTAACGAAGAATACTCCAAAGTAGCTGGTCTCTTCAATTGGAGTTTCATAGACAGTCAAGACGAGGTATGTAGCAATTTCCAATCTATTTTTGGTTTTTCTTTTTTTAGTCCTTTAGGCTAATTCCACTTATGTGGGCAAAAATATTACAAAAATAACTCACCAAAGACCATTACCATTATGATGGAATTGTTAGGTATACTATTCAATCTCAGGACCAAATACTTCAACATTTCAAAGACTTGTGCTATTACCGGTGGGATCAGTCTATCGGGCAATATGGCGAACCGATACCAAAGAATGGGATTTTTTTGTGGGTTCGCAAGATCGTTGCGACGAATACTCCCGGTGTGGGGCTTCAGCCATATGCAACAATTACAACACGATGCAATGCACCTGTTTGCCTGGGTTCGAACCACAGCCCCCTCGAGATTGGTTCATAAAATGTGCGGAGAAGAAGCAATCGTACACATGTGGAAAGGGTGTTGGTGAAGGATTTATAAAACTAGCAGGTTTGAAGATTCCGGACGCTAGGGTAGGCCAATTGTATAAGAATGTGAGCTTAGAAGAATGCGAAAGGGAGTGCTTGAACAAGTGTAACTGCACGGGGTACGCTAGTGCCGATGTCAATGTTGGGGGTCGTGGTTGCTATGCATGGCTTGGTGAGTTAAATGATATTAAACAGTACAATCGCACCGAAGATGGACAAGATTTTTACCTTCGCGTCGACGCTCTGGACCTTGGTATGTTTTTTTTAGTTGTTTTATAAATGTGCATATTAACGGAAAGATTTTTTTTGAAAAATTATTCTATTTTGGTATGAGATGATCTTCACTGATCACACAACTCCGATCTATTTTTAAAAATTTAAATATATTACTACTAATTAATAATTTTTCTTTCTTTTAATCAGTAATAGAGCAGAGCAATCATTGTTGTTAACTTGTTACACTATTCATCAATTAATTTAGTCAAAAAGTCGGTTGGTCAAAAAGTAGAAAAACAGTGTATCCATTGCCGGTCTTAATACTGCATTTATGACATTTTGAAACCACCCCGTTCAGATTTTTTGCCAACCACCCAATTATGTCCACCACTTCACCTAACCTAACCTGACTACCACACAAAAATTTGATATATATATATATATATATATATATATATATATATATATATATATATAAAAGGGTAATTTTATATATTAAAAAGAAGGGATAATTTCATTAACACCTACAGTAATTTGATCAAATATCAGTCTAAAACATATTTCGAAAATAACTATCACTTAGGTCCAATTTCGCTTTTTCGTTACGGTCTCCATTAAAAACGTGAGAAAAGACATGTTTGCCCCTAATTTTTTAATCACATTTAATACCAAATACACATCTACTTAAATGACCATTATATCCCTATATATATATATGTGTGTGTGTGTGTGTGTGTGTGTAACAATCGCATAAAAGACGGCGGCCGAGACGTTCGGTTAGGCACGGAGACGATGACGGCGAAGGGAGATCGGTTGGGCACTACAGCGATGGCTGAACCAGAGAATGCGGGAGGGTCGCCGGACGGTGGTGGTTTCGGGGGAAGGAAGACGCCGAACCAGAGGTTGCTGTGCCGTCGACTGTGGGTCGCTGTCATACGTCACAGGTAACAGTCTTCTCGCCGACGGTTTGTGTGGCCGTCATGTGTGGATTGTCAGTGTGGGACGGTGGGTTGTGTTCACCATCTTGTGCCGACTATGGTTGTGAGTTGCAATCACAGGTAGGTTGGGTTGCCGAATTTGGTTGCTTGGGTCGGTCTCTCCTTCATCGTCGCCGGAATCTTCATCAGTCGTAGTCGTTATTCCTCAGTGGATGCTTCAGTTTCTGATGACATTGGTTTGAAGGTGACTCGACAAGGGCTTTTCTATCAGTTCCTATGCTCTCAAATACACCCAATTCAAACCCTGATTTCACATCTTCCTTATTTTTACCTTCGCTTTCTTTGAAATCAAAGGATAAACCACCCTTTTGGAGATTAATCGGCAACGACCTTCTTGCCGGAGGTAACCGGGCCCTCGACGCCAAACAAGCCGGCAATACAGGAGGCATATCCTTCGACCCCATGCTCATCTCTCTGCTGGATTACGTCCAGCATAATCTCTAATGAGCTACGAGTCCTCATTGAGCACATCGTCATGGTCGATGACATCAAGATTGATCAACCAAAGAATCACTGAAAGAACCGGCTACATACAAAAACGATTGGATATGTATGTGCGCGCGCGTTTGTATGTGTGTTTAGATGTGTGTGAGTGTGTGTGTGAATGGAAGAGAAGAGATTTGTGACTTTTTGGATGGTGATTAGGGGTATTTGAAGTTCTTGAAAGCTGTGACTTCTCGACTTGCTTGAGCTTCCCGAAACCTAGCATAAATCGGAATTCAATCAGAAGGAACATAGCTCCATTTGAGGGAAGCTTTGCTTTGCTTTACTTTTGCTTTTATCTAAAATTCAAATTTCCAGATTGTTCGCCGGAAGTAGGGCTGCTGATCATCGTCGTTCTCTCTAGTCGTCGTTGGAGTTCTGGCCTTCCCTGGGTGAGACGTGTCACTGTTTGGCCCCAAATAATAAGGTGAAATAAAAAAAATAAGGTCAACAACCAATAGGACGTAAACACGTGGGCGAATTGAAATAATATGTGAGGATATAAATGGGTAAATATATCATCTGAATGAGGGTAAATATGTCATTTCAATCATTAAAGAAATAATTAAATGGGTCAAACCAAAGTCAAAGGGTAAGAATGTCTTTTTACATGTAAAAAGTGGTCGGACACACCAGTCAACTAACTTTTGGGGTGTGAGTGAAAAACGGAGCAAACGTTTGTAATCTGAGTGATAGTTATTTTCGAAAGATGTTTTAGACTGATATTTGATCAAATTACTGGGGGTGTCAGTGAAATTATCCCTAAAAGGAAATACAAATGGAGGCAAGCCTCCACTTTGGGGCAAGTCCACGAATGATGGGCTTGCCAAATCACAAAAAACAAATTAGTATACACAGGGCCAAACCCAAAAGACGAAGACATTTTTAGTCTAATACAGATGAACTAGACTATTCATGTCTAGGGCAAAACACAACACTAGAAGCGATCACGTTCCAGTGTAAACATTTAGGGCAAGAACCCTAAGACTCGAGATCCGGCGGCTCAGGTGGTGGTCAAATGAAAGTCGGCAAATCCCAGTCTAGCATCAGCCTTTTAGCATCGGGGGAGTCTTTAACCTTTATAGATAACAGCTTTTGGCGCACTATGTTTGTGATTTGCCTAAAGATTGCGATCTGTGAGCATCTTTGGCTTGTGAAGATTCTGTTGTTGCGTTCTTGCCAAATTCTGTTGACGGCCGTGGAAAGGACAAGTCTGTTCACAGAGGATCTAAGATTCCCTCTTGGCCAACGATTCGATATCCGATAAACAAGATCTATCCACGACGATGGAGCAATATGAAGCCTGCACTTGTGTTGCAAGGAAATCCAGATGGGCCTAGTGTAAGAGCAAGCAAAGAACAGGTGATTGTGTGTTTCATCTGTCATATTACAGAGCTTACAGACTCTGGACCCAGTGAATGATCTCCACTTCGATCAAGGGTGGGAAGTCTGCCTTGTACAGCGAGCCACAAAGAGAACTTACACCTTAGGATCGAAAAAGAATTCCAGATCAGATGGTGCCAAGGCTTTGGGAAAGTGTGTGTTGACAACCATTTAATTGTGTGACTAAGCGAGAATGATCCTGAAGGTGATGGCAGCCAAACGAATGTATCATCAGCTACAGACAGAGGAGGAGTTCTGATAATCTCTAGAATGAGATCAACCACAAACTGAGGGAAATGCCATCGGCCATCATCGAAAAGAGAATCAAGTCTCTGATCAGGTAGGATTGGTGAGTTGATTATACTATCTCTTGTAATTCTGATAGAGAGAGGGCCCCCTTGCAACTAGTTATCCTCCCCAAAGAAGGTTTTAGATCCATTCCCCTCCTTTGTCAAGATCATAGTTCTAGCCACACCTCTAAGCTTTAGGATTTTTTTCCAATTGCTTGAGCACGCTTGAGGAGGGTTAATTGACCAGAAACACCTGTCTCTAATGAGCTGAGTTCTCACCCAATTGGCCCAAAGGTTATCTCTTCTGTTAGAAATGAGAGTCCAAATGTGTTTAAGATTAGTTGCTTTGTTGGCAATTTCAAGATGGTTGTCTCTTCTGTTAGAAATGAGAGTCCAAATGTGTTTAAGATTAGCTGCTCTGTTGGCAAATTCAAGATCCCTGAACCCAAGACCTCTAAATTCTTTAGGTTGGCAACATGCAGCCCAATTCACTTTATGGATACGTTATTGGCCCTCCAATAAAATACTCTGGCATACCATTTTCATTTTAAATATAATGAAAGGGTAAAGTCTATAAAACACTACTAAAATTTTAATTTTATGTAATTTACACTTTATTTTGTGTATATAATTTCAAATATTATAATGTTGCAACTAAACACTTCAGTTAAATTATGTGCCATTCACATGACTATCTTAAAATTTTAAAATCCAAAATTGCCCTTTTTGTATTCCGGAACTACCCCCTCACCATATTCTCTCTCTATTATATATACATGGCCCTAGTCTCCTAACAAACCATTTCATACTTCATTGACCCAATAACAGCAACCGGAAGCTTCATTAACTCCGACAAGCTTCACTGTCCAATCCAGCAAGTTTCATTAACATATTGTCATTGGGGCATCAAAGACCCAACAAGAACCAGTTGAGCTCCAATTCTAACATACACCCAAAAGCTACAAGCTTGGTCCTTCAAAACCTCTCAAAGAAAAAAAAAAAGAGAAAAGAAATCACATACCCAACAAATGGGTTTTTACTGTAAACATATAGGAGACTTCTAGGGACGTACTGAAACAATCCCTCAAGAAAATCTTTTGCAATAATCGGAAAACAATCGCCGAATAAGACGATTGAATTAGGCCTGCTTTGCTAAATCTTTCTCAGTTATGAATGTGCCATGAAAACCATATGGAACTCTAGACGAAGTTGAATCAAAGCTTCTAATTGCATAGTCTTCTCGTCGTGCACAAAAACAATGACAAAACCGTCATCTCCAGCTTTCGAATTGAAGTATGTGGGAAGAAACAGAGGGTCACCATCGTACCTCTGTTCGCCATTTGTGGTGTAAGCGACTGGGTTTTTCTGGCCAAGCTTGTTCCGTAAATGGCTTCTTTTAAGTTAATTTGATCATCCAAATTGGTTATAATTGGTCGGCGTGTGGACTTACCCAGTACTTTAGTTCGATCTCCAATTAGCATAGACAACAGCGCATCACTCCAGCGAATCCACCTCGTAACAGTCCGGCGGCGCTTTAGTCCTATGTGTCTCAGTTCCGGTACGACAAACTTCAAGAGACCTAAACAGTGAGTGTTATGGATCTATCCTGCTCGGGCCCAACTGTAGACGCTTCAACTACCAACTAACCAGCGAATAGAGAGTTTCAATGTCCATGAAAGCAAGTGAGTGCACAATGCTTCAGACATGGTTCGGTGAGTATCAGGCTAACCAAACCAACAGAACGGAGCAAACTTCGACTGTGAACAAACCAGTGAGCTTCACCAGTTCTGCATGCTCATCAGTGATAGACCCAACTCCACTCCGATGAGCAAACCTTGGCCAGTTCGGCGAGCTTCATTAATATACCCACTTCATTTCCAGTA